AACAACAGCAGTTAAGGCTGCATTTACACTGGAAGTATTGTCTTCCGAACATATCCAAATATTCATCTCAATTGTTTACATTCATAACTCGTATTTAATATTCAGGTGTACATTAATTCCTACCTAAAATTATTCTGTTAGTGATCAGTTTATTATGGACTTTAACCTTTGTGTTTTGAATGGCTGTTTAAAAAAGTATAATTAATTTTAAATGGTACTGTGGTTACTTGCTAGCATAGTACTTCGAATGCATAGAGAGACTCTTTACAGTAAATACAGATGTGGTTGCCAGACTTTTACTGTTAAACAAGTGAAAGAAACTGTGAAAGATTTTTACAGTAAACTACCATTAGGGTATGGGATATGCCCACCATAAGGGATGGGACTGCATTCCTGACAGCTACTTAAATGAGAGACATGTTCATGACTCAGTCTGTTTTTACTTTATAAGAGATTCTGTGTGGATTCTATGTAGTCTTTAGCCAGTTTCAACAGGCTGATTTCGCGCGGCCGCCATTTTAAAAGAGAAAGTGAGGCTGCGGTGGGAAGAAATTTGGAAGTATTGCCACACAGTATCACACACAGAGTCACACAGGAATGGTGTCTACGATTGAGTATTGTTGTATACTTGTCTGTATATCTTTACAGCAAAAATGAATTGACACAAATTTATAATTTTACCACTTCCTGAGTTGTGAATGCATAGTTCTGAATGCATAGTGAAAAAAAAGAGGATATCGGACCTCATTTCCTGCTAAGTTAAGGGAAATGGCACTAGATGTTTAAGGTTTTATTTCCCAAACACACTTTTTAGATACCATTTATTAAACTTAAGTTAATATACTGATTCGTTCACTATGTTAGACTAGTCATGATACTGAATTTCTTTACTGAAGTTAAAAAAACAACAACATCAATTTACCGCAAAAATGTAAGCAATGTTGAGCTCATTCTCATCAGATATGACTGTGATTAGTCGTGAAGGTCTTCAGTTCACCACACTTCACCTGTTTTTACCAAGTTTAAACAGACAAACGATCCGCTGATAACTCGACTGAACACAATTGCAAATCAGTGGTGTTTATGAATGCCCTACTAAAAAAAAAAAACATCTTAAACCAGCCTAGGCTGGTTGGCCGGTTTTAGCTGGTCAACCAGGCTGGCTTTAAATGGGTTTTGGCCACTTCCAGGCTGGTTTCCAGCTATTTTCAGCCTAGTCTTAGCTGATCAGGCTGGGAGATGACCAGCTTAAGCCAGCTTGACCAGCCTAGCCAGGCTGGGAGCCCAGCCAAAACCAGCTATATCCAGATTAAACCAGGCTTGGCAAGCTGGTTAGCTGGTTTTAGCTGGTCATTTTCCAGCTTGACCAGCTAAGACCAGGCTGGAAATGGCTGTAAACCAGGAAACCTCTAAAACCAGGCTGGTCAACCAGCTAACCAGCTTAGGCTGGTTTAAACAGTTTTTTTTTTAGCATGGTGCACTTAAATGTTAGCAGGAAATGGACGTTTTTAAAAATTCAGTACCAGAACAACACTATAACATGAGGGTGTACTACAGAGGACTGAATTCTTTATCATTGATCGGGTTACATAGGCTGAAGCAGAAAGCGTCCCCTGTTGTTTTACCTAGTGCCATAAACTGAAGCCTGATTTTGTTGATGTCTAATACGCTTTAAATTGTTTAGATCAAACTTAATTGTATGATGTTAAAATGATGTTTACACCACAGCGGCACTTGGAAATCATTACAACAGCTGGAGGATTGTAGTCCACTGCATGTTGTTGCAATGTTTACTGTGCTGATCCTATGCTTCCAGGTTTCTTCCTACCGCAGCCTTGCTTTCGTTCTTTAAAATGGTGGCCACATAAAATAAGCATATGATCCGAACTGGAACCGATCAAGCATTTTTGAAACTGGTTGCAATTGACTCCTATGGCCGATCATTATTTTGCATCCGCTGCCATGCCGGTGACATGCAGGAGGTTGTGGTTTCAGAGGGGTTTGTCCACTGCCAGTAAAGGAGAAGACGACAATCAAATGTCTCCGTGTGAGGCTTGTAAAATAATGATGTCTCTTCTAGCATGTTACACACATGTAGGCTTCCTTGTTCTCTGAATTTATTGTACACTTCATTTCTGATCACTCATTCACTTTTTAGCACATATAACACTATTTTATATAATTGGTTAAATATTCCATTACAGATTATGTCATGTAACGTATAATAGCATTGACAAAAAGAGACTGTAACCTAAAAACACACAAAAATAACTGCTGTAGATCAATTATAACGATGCAAACAAACTAACTTTTGATAAAAAAGACCATTTTGTCAAAAAAAAAAAAAAAAAAGATTCAGATTCAGTATTCTGACAAAATATAGTGTCTGGAAGGGACAAAAATTCTTATGATTCATGTAATCATACAAGGAAACCAGGAATCAGACGACTGTAAAACCCCTCCACATGCCAATTAAAGCACATTTATATGCAGCTTTGACCTCTTTCCCTTTGGTTTTCATTCCTGAATGCCTTATTATTCTATTTAGCTCCATATTATTATCTTTTCCCCACTCTAACAAGATGGGAAAATAGTTGTTCAGTGCGTGCTCCTTTGGGAGAGCCGAGCTGAAAAGAAAGAGCCTGATAGAAAAGGCGTAGGTGAAACGAGATAAAAACAGCAGAGGTGAAAGCTCAGATTCACAGTGAATAAGCGAGCTGTGAAAAAAAAAAATTTTATATTCTGGAGATGAGATGTAAGGAACAGACTTCACCGCTCACACATTAGTCCTATCTCGTAGGCCTGATTATTTGATTAGGATGTTCTTTGTGGCTTCATTCTTTGTACAGTGTTTCTCAAGCAGTTGAAGCATATTTCACAAACTTGCAAGGATGTAAATTCCATCATGAGCGATTCACGTTTCAAAGGACCTTTTCCCTTCATGACCGCAACATTAATCATCGGTGGCCTGGCTGAAAGTCGGGACCACAAAATTGTAAGAACAAGCAAGCAGACAGGGAAATTCTGATACAGGTTTTATTTTAATATATATATATATTATCCACATTTCTGAACTGTATGAGCTTCAGCGAGTCTTACCACTGTAATGAAAACAAAAGCAAATTTGCTTAATGGTTAATTAATTTAATGGACATTAAATAAAGACAAGGTTTAACTAACATGTGCTATTTCAAGGCAACCTTGTAACTCAAGTTCCATGCACCTACACTCTCAGAAAAAAAGGTACAAAATTGTACCTTTTAGGGTACAAATGGCCCGTCACTGGGGTGGTACCCTAAAGGGTACAATTTTGTACCTCTGTTTAAAGGTACAAAATTGTACCTTCTACATTTGTACCATTTAAGGGACAATTTTGTACCCCCAAGGAAGGTACGAAAATGTACCTTCTTATATTATATAGCATTTTCAGGGTACTGACCCAGGCATTTTGATCCTTTGGTGACTGCATGCACAAATAAATAAATTATTTTGGTTCGCAGATGTCCATTTTTATTTAGAAATGAAATAATATTTTATTACAATTCACAACTGAATGTGTCAAGTAATAAAATTACACAGTAAGTATAAAGCAGACATGTAAAACAGTAAAAAGATCAATTTAGATAACAAATAAAAATTGTTCACTCACTGTACAGTAAATCATCTACACTTAATACAAAGACCACAAGAATACTGTTTAAGATTTATAAACACATTACACAGGCTACATCAAGTACTGCACTTTATAAAGTCCAAAGTATTTGTCTTTAGTCAGAATACGCAGTCATAATAAATAATTTGCCATCAACATTTTCTCTGTATTTCAGAATGAAGGCAATGTTTCTTCTATAAATTACATCAACAGTGCAGAAAACCAAAAACATTAGTAGCCTCTTCTTCAACATCAGTAGATTCTTCCTCAACTTCCTCAAGAAGAGTTGTAATTTGTTGTAACACAATACGTTTATGCTTTTGGTAAACATGACATGTAAGGTACTCATAACTGGAAAATGTTCTTTGATAGTCATTAGGACCACAAGTTATTTAAAAATTTGCTTTATGCATGAATGAGAGCAGTGTGCTGGATTAATTTGATGATTGTGATTATTATCCAAGAGCATTTAGAGAAACAAAAAACAAGGTTGATTTCTCTGGTAACTGTAGTAGGTCGAGGCTTGTCATCGTCCACAGTTCATTTAAAACATTCCACTGCAGAAACATCAAGGTGTTCTTCAAATGAGACAATGCCATCAACTCTGAAGACTGCCATGACTCGTCTTGTGGTCCAGTCGGTGGTGTCCTCCTGTACTTGAACTGTTGGATGTGGTGAAGATGATTCACTGTAAATAACAAAGCAATAATTTCATTAATATCATTGATGAAGACAAAGTCAACATGCATAGAATGTGAAATAATTAATATTCACTGATTTAAAAAAAGTATAACAGATAAAATGATTAATATAAAGTTCATTCACTCATTAATTTTTTTGGCTTAGTCCCTTTATTAATCTGGGGTCGCCACAGTGAAATGAACTGCCCACTTATCCAGCATTTTACGCAAAAGATGCCCTTCCAGCCACAACCCAGTAATACAAACATTCATACACACTCATTCATACACACATTTATACACTACAGACAAATTAGCTTACCCAATTCACCTATAGCACATGTCTTTGGTCTTGTGGGGAAACCGGAGCACTTGGAAGGAACCCACACGAACACGGGAAGAACAAGCAAACTCCACACAGAAATGCTAACTGACCCAGCCGAGGCTCGAACCAGCAACCTTTTTGCTGTAAGGTGACAGCACTACCCACTTTGCAATCCTAATATAAAGAATATCAAGAATTATAAAATGCATTTATCACAGCATATACTAAACAGAAAACAACTTACGCACCTGAGTACAGCTAAATGTTGAAGTGTCTCGCTGAACAAGGCTGGCAACATGATAAGTGGTGCTGTAAAATCAATTCCTGGAACATAAGATGTGGCATCCAAACAAATATGAAGGAATCCATACAAAGCTAGAATTTAATAATATTAATTAAGTAGAGAAAATTTAGAAAGGGTACCTTAGAGTCAGGACCATAGCATTCTTCAGTTGATCTCTCATTTTTCGATGAATACCTAGAAAATAATTTGAAACATATATGTGTACATTTATTGTTGTTTGTAAGTAAAAACCTACAAATTTAAAATAGTATGTAAGCCATTAAAACCATGGTATATAGATAATGAGAAATACTTGCATCTTGTACTGAGCCATGCTTTCATATGACATGCCTTCACTGGTCTGATGCTGTCAGGCTGCATTCTGTTGTTCCAACTGTCCTGAAGGTCAAATGGAAACTTTAAAAACTTCTGGAAAGCAATAAGAGAAAATAATAACTATTTGTTTATTTTTAGATATTTATAAAATAGTTAAAATACTGTAAGGTATTACATTAAATATTACATTAAAGAACGAAGCATTACTTAAAACGTCGATTCATACAACGTGGTACGTTAATAATTATACATTAACATAAGCATAAACAAGAGTGAAGCACCAACAATTCTGGACATGAGAGTTTGTGGACACTCCTCAACGTGAAACTAGCCGGAACTGGCCCGAGTGTTTTGCTATCTGGGTTGCGATTATATTCCGCAGTGGCAACACATTAATAAAGCAGTAACGTAAGATATGAGGCGCGAATACGTAGGCGATAAAGTGTGTTTTTACACCGAGAAAACTAATAGCATATAGTTAACTTACTCACCTTCTATAACGTTATGTCCCGCGGTGACTTCAATATCATATTGTATTAACTTCTTTAATAAGCTGCAGACCTCTAAGCCAACTCCATCATGCAGGCAAACGTACACCAAGCAGTCCGGAGAATTTTTTCGCGGTCTTTAAGCGGGGAAAAGCCGAGGCACGAGAGTCAGACAAAAGCAGTAGAACATGGCGTCACATATAAAAATGAAACTGAAAATATGTCATAAATACATATTTACCTGAAAAGTGTGGACTCCAAAATAGACTTTTCTTTGAAAATCGTGCGAAGTTCTGTGTAAACAGCCAGCATGAGCAAACTCGACCGCCTCAGTAACAAACACAGCCAACAAGCCGCATTCTTAAAGAGACAGTAACATCTCCACCTGAATGAAGATACTGTCACTCTGCATGATCCTTATTCTAAATCCCATTTAGGGTCTTAAACAGTAAGTAAAGAACAGTATTTACGTTTTTAATAATTAAAATTACATTCAATTCTACATTAAATTGTAAATATTTTTTAAGAAAAAATTACATTTGAATACATTAAAAAATAATTATTAAAGTATTTTATTCAATCAATTTATTAATTTTATATTTTTAAATTATGTATTTTAGTATTAATGTTTAGTATTAATTAATTAAAAATTAGTGTTATATGGTGTCTTGATCTTATAAGCTGAGGGTACAATTTTGTTCCTATAGGGAAACAAAATATATAATTGTACCTTTAAAGGTGCCAAAATGGTCCTTTACAGTACAATTATGTACCCAAATGTGCTTTAAAAGGTACAAAAGTGTACCTTTCAAACCTAAATCTGGACGTTTGTACCTTTTTGGCCCATTTGAGTACAAAATTGTGCCCTAAGGACCAATTTAGGACCTTTAAAGGTACAATTATATATTTTGTTCCCTCTAGGAGCAAAATTGTACCCTCATTGTACCTTTTTTTCTGAGAGTGTAGTAATTACAATTATTTACATTATAATAACCATATTGTAAGTATATGTAATGAATTAGTATTACTCAGTAGTTAAATGAATTGCCACACAGTAACAAGGACATTTTAAAATAAAGCATGACCAATGGGAATTCATTATAAAAGTATAATACATGTATTATACTTTTTTGATGACTTTTGGGTGGATCTGATTTATTTATTTACAGTACAGGCATTTTTAAGTGTTGTGAATAAATGAATTCATATTCAAGTATTTTTAAAGATTAAAAAAATGGTCAAATTCAAGCTTTTACACTGAAAAAAAAAAGATTTGATTGGATTTGCTTAATTTTTTAAGGCAAGCTGTTGCAATAATTTTTTGGGTTGAATTTAAACAAACAAATTAAGTTTGACTTAATTATTTTATATATGCTGAATTCAAACAAACAAATTAAGTTAGACTTACTCAATTTGTATGTGCTGAATTTAAACAAGCAAATTAAGTTGGATTACTAAGTTTAAGTTATCTTTACCCAATGAAAATTGATGTTCAATAATTGTTACATCTACTTACTTTGTTTGCTTTTTTATTTTATGTCTGTTACGCACCGTCTGAATAACATGAAAGACAAAAAAATGAAATCAAAGAATTTTTGGGGTTTGAATTCAGGAGCTAACAAGGCCAAAATAACAAACTAAAAATCCTTTATTTTAAATCTGTAACTGATCAAAAATTAAAGAAAAGAAAATACAATTAACTACCCTACATTCAGAAAAAAAAGGCACAATGTTGTATCAAAGAAGGTACAAACCCTTGTCACTGGAGCAGTACCTTTTTATGGAACATAATTGTACCTAAAGACAAAGAAACTAATATGTACCATTGCAGTTTGTTCCATTGAGGACATGATTTGTACAATGGGAAACCAAAATGTACCTTTGTTTTTAAAAACCTGCAGATACAATATTGTACCTTCATCAAAGGTAAAAATCTGATCCATAAGGTACCGCCACAGTGACAAGACACTTTGTACCTTAACAGTGCCAAAAATGCTTAAAGACATTTATTAAAAATGCCTTAAATGTTTAGTTAACAATACCAATAGTTTTGATGTTTTACTTGTTGTTTTGTATTATTATATAACTTAAAAATTTATGTATATGAGTTTCTTTAAACATATACTTTTAAACGATGATTTAAGAGTTCGCCTTTAGCTGATGAGGTAGGAAACGAGCCCGTGGAAAACCCACACAAACACGGGGAGAACATGCATACTCCATACAGAAATGCCAACTTGGCCAGGTAAGATCTGAGCCAATGACATTCTTGCTGTGAGGCAATAATGCTAACCATTGGGCCTCCGTGCTGCACTGACAAGGTAATGGAAGGAGTAGGGATGGAAATGGGGGATTCTTTAAGACGAAGATGGGTAAGGAAAGATACTGTGGTAATTTATAGTGATTTAGGAATCATCTGATAGGTGTATCATACGTTAGCTACTGAGGATCAGCTGCTATCAAAAGGCAAAAAGTTTAAACGAGTCATTGGAAAAAAGTTGGCAGTTGGCACGACTTTAACACATTTAAACACTTGGCCCTATACAACATACAAATGTTTTAACAAACACAAGGCAAGTGACTAAAACAAGATGGCCACCAAGGAAGTTGTGTCATGGCTTTTAAAACACTGTATCTATAGGCTAATCAGAAGCAAGGAATCATCTAGAAGTGGTCAATCAGGGTTTTTTCTAGGCAAAGCAGAGAAACAGATGAGACAAGACAACTATAGGGTTGTAACAATGTCTAAAATTATCATTGAACTGGTTGCAAATGCACTGAAATAACACATAACCATGCTTGTTTGAAATTCAATCTAATGACTTTTTAGGATGCAATTTCTAAAAAAAACTTAAATGTTTAAAATAACAGTTCTTACAGTACATTCAATTCACATCAAGACATACAACAATGCATTAACTGATGGAACTCGCGGAACAAAATGGGTCACGCTTTATGTTGAAGGTCCATTTATTGAAATTGAGTTACATTGCATCTACATGCCAACTAATTCTCATTAGATTATAAGTAGACTGTTAGGTTGGGGTTAGGGTTAGTGTAAGTTGACATGTACTCTCAAAGTTTCTTATAGTCAGTTAAATGTCTGTTAAAGGAGCAGTATCAGCAGATATTAAGCAGGCAGTCTACTAATACTCAAATGGACCATCAAAATAAAGTGTCACCACAAACTGCAATTCTTATCACATACACAGACAGACGCACACAAACTTTTAAAAATGTATGAAATGTAAAATATGCACGTCTTGAATTTATAACAAATAAGAACAGTTTGCATTTAAACCAAAAACTCTTACAACACATTCGTTTCACACAAATACACAAAATCATTAACTGATTAACCTAATAAAGAATTAACTTACTAAAGGATATAGCAACTACATTAAACTGCACTTTTTAAGGAATGCTCACACACAGACACACAACAACAATTTGTAAAATGTTTTAACTACACTGTAAAACCCAACAGTCAACTTTATTAAATGAAATGAGTTTAGTTAACTCAAAACTGACTGAAAGTGAATTCTACTCATTTGAAGAGAGATTTGAACTCAGTGTTGAAAGTAATGAGTTCATTAAATACCTCATTACTTCAACTTAAATGGAGTAAGTTCACAGTACTCATACAGATTAGTTTTTTTTTTTACTCAAATAGTTTGTAGCAATTGGTTACCTCAAATGGTTTGAGTTGCATTAACTTATTGGGTTTAACAGAACTCAGTTGATTTAAGTGCTCTTCATTTATTGGGTTTTACTGTGGTTAGACTGCTTCATTTACACAAATGGATTAAGTTCACAGTATTTATTAGGATCAGTTTTTGAACTTAATGGTTTGTTGCAATCTGTTTCCACAAATGGTTTGAGTTACCTTAACTTATTGGGTTTTACAGTGTAAGTATGCAAGTATTTGCATTAGGTAAAGGCAACAAGAAGTACCTATTGTGAATAAATATCCTCTAATTCAAGTATTTTTGAACCAGATTTAAAAAATGGTCAAATTCAAGCTTTTGAGAATATCTATTTCAGGTCAATAACTCCCCTTTCAGTCTGACTGATTTTAAATTTCATCTTACTGAAATAGTTTGAGGTGTGAATGCTTTTCAGCCTAGTTAAGCCATGAATATGATTATAAACTAATTATGTGTGTGTTAACCAAGATATAAAGTCAGAGCTGAAGTCACACATTGAAAAAATAAAATAAAGCAAATGTGAGATATCAATAAAAAATGTCTCTTGTGAAGTATGATTCAAGTGTTTCACAATGCTAACAAATACTGATTTTTCTGCCTCACACATAAATCTTCAAAAAGTGTAAGTATGAACTGCTAGAAAGCTTAAAAACATGGATTATCAGTATTTCTAAACAGATCATTAGTGCTGCGGGGAAGGAATCAGCGGTCGGGTTTATGATCATGTGACCAAGTTAACATCAGAAAAGCCTTGTACAATTGATATCAGACAACGGTAAAACCCCTCCTCACGCCAATTAAAGCACATTTATATGCAGCTTTGTCCTGCTTCCCCTTGGATTTTCCCTCCTGAATATCTTGTTTTTCTATTTAACTCCTTATTATCTTCCTTCCTTTTTAACAAGATGAAAAAAAACACTCACGCAGTATGTGCTCAGTTAGGGGAAATGGGGTCATTTGTCCCATTCCATTTCAAGAAATATTCTGTGGATGAAATTAATATTAAAGGGGTGGTCAATCAGGTATTTTCAAAAGCTTGATTGCTTTTGTGGGGTGCATAACATGCGTTCACACTTGCTTTTTATTATTCATTTGAAATCACATTACTTTATAGCATGTTTTACATTTAGTAACTATTAGAATTTATTACCTATTACCTTTATTACCATTCTCTCAAAAATGATCTCCTTTTTAACTGGATCATGATGCTCCTCAGAAATATAAAATGAACTATGATTATGTCTCAACTAGTCTGAAAAAAAAAATAAAACTCTGCGTTCAATTTATTTAATAAGGAACACGGGAACAGGAACAAAAAATATAAATTCCGATTATATTGTTTTTTTGTTGTTGTTGTTTTTTTTAAGCCCTGGTGTCCACATCATCGTCAATCGTTTTCCAAAGGAAGGTCAGCAACACTAAAATGACTGTAAACACTGTTTGACTGAAAATCGTCCCTTTACTGTGCATGCATTGAGACATTTATATACTTTTCGGCTCTTTGAAACATTGTGACAATAGCACCAAGTTTTTTTTTTCTTTTTTTATTTTACATTGACCAACATTGAGGTATGGGTGCAGCAAGTA